CACGAACCCGTGTCCCCTGCATTGGCAGGAGGACTCTCAACCACTGCGCCACCAGGGAAGACCCCAGCACCACTTATTGAAGAGGCTGTCTTTTCTCCGTTGTATATTCTTGACGAGGCTGTTTATTTTTAATTGTGGAAATACATGCTCACCATGAAAAAGACAGCAAAAATGCTGCTACTGCCTCCGCCAGCGCCGCCACCATCACCACAATAATAATAATACAGATAGGGAATTCCCTGGTGGTCCAGTGGTTAGGACCCTGAGCTCTCACTGCTGAGGGCCCAGGTTCAATCCCTGGTCAGGAACTAAAATACATTACAAAATGACCATCATGTTAAGTCTAGTTACCATCTGTCACTATACAAAGTTATTACAGTATTACTGACTATATTCCCTATGCTGTATGTTAGTTTCCTGTGACTTATTTTTCTAGGTTGAAGTTTGTATCTCTTAATCCCCTTCACCTATTTCGCCCAACCCCCACCCCCACCCCCCTTCCCTCTGGCAACCACCAGTTTGCTCTCTGTTATCTGTAAGTCTGTTTCTGTTTTTTGTTTTCCTATTTTTTGACCACGCTGTGAGGCATGCAGGATCTTAGTTCCCCGACCAGGGATCGAACCTGTGCCCCCTGCAGTGGAAGCATGGTGTCTTAACCGCTGGACCACCAGAGAAGTCCCTGTTTCTGTTTTGTTTTGCTTGTCTGTTTTGTTTCTGAGATTCTACATATAGGTGAAATCACACGATATTTGCCTTTCTCTCTGATTTATTTCACTTAGCATAATACCCTCTAGGTCCATCCATGTTGCTGCAAATGGTGTTATTTCGTTCTTTTTTATGGCTGAGTAATATTCCATTGTATACATGTACCACATCTTCTTTATCCATTCATCTGTTGATGGACATTTAGGTTTCTTCCTTGTCCTGGCTATTGTAAATAGTGCTGAAATGAACACTGGGGTGCATGTATCCTTTTGAATTATAGTTTTCTCTGGGTACATGCCCAGTAGTGGGATTGCTAGGTTATATGGTTTTTCTATTTTTAGTTTTTTAAGGAACCTCCATACTGTTCTCTATAGTAGCTGTATCAATTTACATTCCCACCAACAGTGCAAGAAGGTTCCCTTTTCTCCACACCCTCTCCAGCATTTATTGTTTGTAGATTTAAACAAAATGTTTTTGTTTATTTTTGGCTGCATCAGGTCTTAGTTGCGGCACACAGGATCTTCGTTGAGGCATGTGGGATCTTTTGTTGCGGCGCGCGGGCTTCTCTCTAGTTGTGGCATACAGGTTTTCTCTTCTCTAGTTGTGGCGTGCAGGCTCCAGAGTGCATGGGCTCTGTAGTTTGTGGCACGCAGGCTCTCTAGTTGAGGCTTACGAGCTCAGTAGTTGTGGTGGGTGGGCTTAGTAGCCGCGAGGCATGTGGGATCTTAGTTCCCTGAACAGGGATTGAACCCGCATCCCCTGCATTGCAAGGTAGATTCTTTACCACTGGACCACCAGGGAAGTCTCTGTTTGTAGAATTTTTATTATTTATTTATTTATTTTAATAAATTTATTTATTTATTTACTTTTGGCTGCGTTGGGTCTTCGTTGCTGCGTGCAGGCTTTCTCTTATTGCGGTGAGTGGGGGCTACTCTTTGTTGTGGTGTGCAGGCTTCTCATTGTGCTGGCTTCTCTTGTGGAGTACGGGCTCTAGGCACGCGGGCTTCAGTAGTTGTGGCACACAGGCTCAGTAGTTGTGGCTCGCGGGCTCTAGAGCACAGGCTCAGTAGTTGTGGCTCACAGGCTTCATTGCTCCACGGCATGTGGGATCTTCCCAGAGCAGGGATTGAACCCGTGTCCCCTGCATTGGCCGGCAGATTCTTAACCAGTGAGCCACCAAGGGAAGTTCCTGTAGATTTTTTAATGATGGCCATTCTGACCGGTGTTAGGTGATACCTCATTGTAGTTTTGATTTGCATTTCTATAATAGTGATGTTGAGCATCTTTTCATGTGTTTGTTGGCTATCTGTCATTTGTGTTTCTTCTTTTCTGAATTGCCTTTTCATGTCCTTGGATGTTTTTCTGTTGGGGAGTTTGTCTCTTAGTGATTTGTAAATAAAAAAATATATATACAGTAAGTATTAACCCATTGCCTGTTAGAGATGTATTTTTTCCTAGATTGCCGTTGCTTTTTAATTCTTCTCGTGGTGTTGCCAATGTTTTAGTAGTCAAATATATCAGTCTTTTCCATTATAATGTCTTTTGTAGTTTTTAGTGTTAGATTTTCCATATCCCAGATCACTTGTTATTTGCCCCCAAAATTAAGTTCACGTTTTTCACACTTGAATCTTCCATTTGGAATTTATTTAGTGTGAATTGCAGAGCAAACTTTCTATTTCTCCCCCTTCCAATACTTAGGCAAGTTTCCCAAACTTAACATTGACAAAGCTATTCCTTCCCCAACTGGCTCTTGGTGCTTCATTTTCTCTTTACAGTAGACCATAGCACACTGAATAGTCATGGCTTGAAGCCATTCTCTGTCAGGTCTGCTCATTTCAGCTTCCACCTTGCTTAGCATGTCTGTTTTCCAAAGTCTCAAGGCCAGCTATACTTGCAAATGAAGACAGTAAGCCTGTTCATTTATTTGCCTCTTTTTATGCTTCTCACACGAGTTTTGCAGCATCCTTCTTCACATGGATCCCAAACACTGCTTCTTAAGATTATTCCTAGGTATTTTATGTTACTGTTGTGAAGGGAATCTATTTCCTGTTGTTTTCTAACTGGTCATTGCTTGTATTTGAGAAAATGTTTAATCCTGCTACCCCTGCCTATCGAGTATTTGTGTATCCATTGCTCCCTGAACTTTCCCAACACCTAACCCCTTCCCTTCAGTGGGTTTTTGGAAAGCAGTGACTTCTCAGTGTTGTCAGTACATGGTAAGCGGTCAGTAAAAATGTTTATGTTGGGTAATAATTGTTTCTCCAGCCAAGACATATTATGTTTCATAAGTATAGAGCCATACATCCCAGTTTATCTGGGTTTGTTTGCACTTGTGGCCCAGCATAATTTTTTTTTTTTGGTGGCTGTGCCATGTGGCATGTAGGAATCTTAGTTCCCTGACCAGGGATTGAACCCGCGCCCCCAGCAATGGAAGCATGGAGTACTAACCACTGGACCACCAGGGAAGTCCCACAGCATAATTAATAACACCCTTTTTATTTTAAAATTTGCCCAACTTTGGATGATAAGTTATATGGTCACCCTAATTATAAGAAAAGGGGACTATTTTAATAAGGAGATAACCAGTAGTAATTGTAACACACACATCAGTGGAGGGAATTATTAGGGGGCAAAAAGAGACATGTTTAATCATATCATGAAAGCCGCTATTAATTAGTCTTCACGTAGAATTAGGCCTGTTATTGACTTCCCTGATACCTGCCTCAAATTCATTTGGAACTATTAAATTGTCCATCTCAAAAAACTTACTTTGAAATGCCTCAGGTGTAGAAAAGTTATAAAGTATTATAGTATTATAAGAAATACTTATGTACCCAGCACCACCCAGCTTAATAAAACATTTAATTTAAGCCCTCTGGGTAATGTACCTCTTCCCAACTGCATCCCCTTTTGTCCCCCATAGCTCATCCTGAACATCATGCAGTACTGTCATACTTATGCATGGGCTTCCATACTCTTCATACATGTGGTTTTTCATGTTCTTGGTACACATGTATGTAGTATTGTTTTGCAATTTTTAAACAGGCAGGTCTCATACATTTTTGCTTATCTTTGAGATTGTGTATGTTGACATATGCAATGGATATTTTTACTATTGTATAGGATTTCTTTATATTAATTTATCAGATTATACTTGTTGGACAATAAATGTTTACACGAATGTTTTGTTCATTATAACCAGGCCTCTTGCTGGACTCACTTAAGCTCCAATAATTTTTGATTCTCTTGGTTTAGCAAAATAGTTTCTCTTCAACAGCTATACCTTGTTTCCTGCTTTATGGAAATGGCTAGAACTTGCAGAACAGTGTTAATGGTGATAATTGACCACTTTATGCTTGCAGTGTGATGTTGACTGTTGGTCTGATGCTACCTTATCAAGGTAGTATCTTTACAAGTTACCAGGAATAGTTACTGTTGGCAAATGCCTTGCATCTACTGTCAAAAGGTTTTTCTCTTTTGACATTGAGGTGATGAATATCCCATAGGCAAATCATACTTAGTCATATTAGGTTTTTGTGGTACGCCATTGAGTTAGATTCATTTATTTCCTTCAGGATTACTCCATCTGTACTCCGAACTTCCACACCCGACTCCCAACCCTTGCACCCCTTTCAAATTTAAATGGTCAGAGCTTTATTCTTTGATTTCTCAAAGAACCAGTTCTTAAGTGTATTGATCAATTCTACTACATTTCTGCTTATTTGTTCCTTTTATTTTAAAGCCCTGGTGGACTCCCAGCCTCATCTCAGGCCACTATCCTTTGCTCAAGCCTTGCTCAAGCCTTGCCCTATCAACTGGACTCTTGCTGCATTGAGCTAGATTACCCTGTTCTTCTTAATCTTCACTCTCACACAGACTTATGATTCAACCCAAATGCCACTGACAATAGAAAGCCTTTCCTGATCTCCCAGGCTAGACCAGGTACTTGTGCTGGGCACCCAGATCCCCTTCAGAACTGATCTGTCTCCACCCCTTGACTAGAAGCTCAATAGGACGGACAGGGTTGATTCATCTGTCTTCTCAGTGGTCAGGAGGGCCAGGAACAGACAAGTGCGAACATTGGAAGAAAAAAAAAAAAGATTAGCTGCCATTTGCATCAGGACAAAGGGATCAGGTTAAGGACAGACACACCACTGCTTTCCTAGATTCACACTTTGGGACATGGTCAAGGGGAAAAGAGAAGTAGAGCCTTGGAGAATGAGAAAAACCACACAAAGCAAGTACCACTTGAGGTTATTTTTCTAACTGAACTTTTATTACTTTTTTCTTTGAAGGCTGGAACCATCAAAGTCCTTAGATCAACTTTAAGTGCTGGATGGAGTAAAAAAAACCACAAAAGACTGTTGGGCGATCTGTGAACAGACTGGCAAACAAGCAGATGACAAAACCAAACCAAAAAGGATGGAAAGACTGTTCTGGGGAACTAGTCAAATTATTTGCTTATGAAAATGTTAGAAATAAACTAAAACATTAATAAATGAAATCAAAATTTTAAACTGAGCTCCAGGCTTGAAACTGTTATAAAGGCTCAGGAAATAGAACCTTCGGTTGGGTTGAGTGAATTCTCTTACAACCTGCTGGTTTGTTCCCCTAGAGCAAGGCGATGCTTTGTCCTTGGCTGCAATCTCTAACACCATCACCACCCCCAAGTGCAGATCCCATTCTGAAAAAGATCCCCCCAGTTCCTAATGACTCTGAAGGAGGAGGATGCACCCATGTGGTGACAGAGATGGCTTTCTGGAGAGTCCACTGGATTTCCTCTCCAGCCATCTAACATGTGCTCAAGGTGTTTATTTCTTTTTAAACTTGAAAAAAACTCCATTGTGAAAAGTGAGTTATGAAGAGTGCTCTTTATTTGAAACCTCCACAACACAGACGCCAATCTTGTCTCGCATTGAATCATTAGCTGTGCACATCAACACATTCCAAGCACAAATTAAGAAATGCAAACAGAACAAAAAAATATATATATATATAATTTTTTCCCCTATCCAAAGGTTTCAAGTCTCAATGCAGCAAATCCTTCTGAACACAGAATCTGAGGAGCACACTGTTCAAACAGTTGGGACAAACGGGTCCCTGTAAAGGCTATTGCCTTTTCAATACATGGGTGAGGGATCCTGGACGGCATGGAACGGGGGGAGGAGGTGAGAAAAAGGGAGCGGGGGGAGAGAATGAGCAGGAAAGGGGGAACGGGTATGCGCTGGGGAAGATGGGGCAGCTGGGACACACACATGGTGAGTTGGTGGATTTTCACTTATTGGTTTTTGACATTTTCTTTCTGGTTCTTTTTTGTTTTCATTATTTCATTTCCCCCCCTTCCCAGGTCCAACAATGGTAGAAAACCCCCACAGTGGTGGGCGGGGCCTTATTAGGCCAGCCCAAAGCCTTCAGAGCACTCCTGGATGGCCAATAGTAGCATGTGGCGGAGCTTCTCAAAGCTCTCATAGGCAGGCAGGTCCAGCTGATTAAAACTAGGGAAAGAAGAAAGATCAATTCATGACAAAAGATGATAACCAAATCCGTGTTCCCATGGTGCCCACTTGACTTCTGCTTGTAGACTCCCAATCCTGTCCTAGCCTTGTCTGCCCTCCTCTAATCTGGCCCCAATACTGGCCACCAGGCACCTAAAACATAATCTGACCCTGTCACTCCTCCTTAAACACCACGGCCCTACATGAAAGCTCCAAGGAGGCATTCAGGGTCACTGGTCACCCCTGCCGAGTTCTTTAGCATTCTGCTCCCTGCAACTCCTTGCTCTGGCTACGTTGAGCCCTGGAATACACCTTGTTCTCACATGGCAGTGTTCACCTGCAATGTCACCCCAGTCCCACTGTGAGTCTGGGCCAGCTTCTCATCTCAAATATCATCTTCTCCACAAAACCCACCAAATTGTGAGTTACCCCAGGTCCAGGGTACCCGGGGCCAGATTTGCGCTGGTAGGGGCCTAGAAGTAGCAAATATGCAAATTCAATCTAAATGCTGAAAAGGAGAACAAACCCTTCCTCTTACCATGTGTGAGCTGAAGGCAGGCGGTCTGTGGACCTGTCATCTCGATGGATCTGAAACTTCTGAATGCCATTCATGCCTTCAAGGGCAGCAAAACCTTGCAGGGGCACCTTGGAAGTACCCGTGACAAACTGGAGGAACTTGGCACGGTCAGCTTGATCGAAGGAACGCAATGCTCTCCAGAACCACTGGATCTACAGGAATGAACATAAGAAGCCAGTGTTAGGTAGAGTTCTTCGAAGAAAGGGGGATGGGATTTGGAATGTTAGGCAAGTCCCTTCTGTGAGACAGGTTTCAGTTCCTCCATTCACAAGATGAGCAAGGAGATCACCTGAAAACTGAAACTCCAGAAGAGTGAAGAGTTAGGTACAGGTAAGCTGTCACTCAAAACTCCCTTCCCCTAAGAGTACTGGTTTATTTGGTGTCATATAAACTAACACTGCTTAAGGATACAGGAAGGGATGCCAGCAGCAGCTCACCTGAATAGAGTTGGACTGGTACTTGTGGTATTCAGTGTTGGATTTCAAATCGTCAATGTCGATTGTGGGCAGTCCTGATATGAGCAGCTCTAACTCCTGCTCAGTGAAGATGGAAATGAGGCGCTTTGGAATGATCTCATAGAAACCTTCTAAGAAAGCTGCCAGCTGTTTGCGGATGGCTCCTGGGGAGAGAACCAACAAGCCACGTGGCATCTGAACTCATACAACTGTTAGAGGTCAGAGATCCCCAATCTGGCAGGATGCTGACTGATCTGCCTACCTCACCTACCACTCTGTTTCTAGGCCCCCATATGAGGGTGGATGAAGGGAAATATTTTTTGGTCACGTTTTTGGACTCCTTTTATGCAAGGCATTTGTGGCTGGCATAGGGGAAGAGAAGAAACAATGTCTGTGAAATGAGTGAGGCCTGACCTTGCCCCATACTGAGCAACTAGGGGGTCTAACGGACATTTCCCCTACCTGTCATTCTCATCTGGCACACCAGGTGTACATACTCCTTCTTATTCTCCTCTGTTACCAAGATGTTGGCCCCATTGGGTTTGAGGTCACGAACTTCACACACTCCAAACTCTTGGACCTAGAATACCCAAAACCAATAATATGAATCAGGCTTGGTCTAGGATGGAACTTACATAGATACCTGGAAACACACCCTAAACTCTTTGCTGAATCCTGGGCAAGGAGATGAAGCAAGGTCATAAAAAACAGTGACTTTTCTCATGAGCTCATAAATCCCTAATAGGGAAAGGCCAAGGGTTTGGTCCTAAAACATACGGAAACTATCAATAGTAAAAGGGAAAAGGGCATGGATAACATACATAATGTAACACAACAGAATCTTTATGGAAAGCAATTTGGGCGAAGAGTAACCTTGAAATTTGTTTTTCATTTATGTCTATTTGTACAATTTTTCTAGAGTGAACTTTGGGAATGAAGAATAATGTACTAGAGCATTTTTTCAAAATATAGAGGAAACCAGGAAACAGCCTGGATTGTTTTACAAATTCTGGTTTTTCTGTTTGTGCCATCTCATGCAAATACCCACTGTTCTCTGCCAGATGGGGAACGGGGAATGTGACTTAAGACATCAAGATGCTTCCTTAGAAGCATTAGAGGTTATCCAATGCCAGTTCAAGGACAACCCCATAATGGGTTTCCTAGACTAGCTGGGATGTGCTATGGTCAGGATCTCCTGACCTACCTCAGTGCTGAAGGTGAGGTCGTAGCCTAGTGTGGAGACATCATTTTCCAGCAGATAAACCAGGCCCTGGTAAAAGTGGTAATCTTCGCTCTCCATGTCCGTATATCTAGATAAACAAAATTAGGGCCATGGGTTGGGGTAGAGGACAGGCAGCCTAGTGATGGGACACAAGAAAAGGGACCAGATTTCCAGGACTGAAGACAGTCCCAGGTTTGTGCCACATCCTCACCTGACAGACTTGCCCAAGATGTGTTTGTAGAAGGACCGAGTAAAGTAGCACTCCAGGAGGCGGTTGTCATATACAGCTTTGGCCACGATGCGTCCGACAAACTTGAAGTAGCTAAGGTGGTTGGGGTTGCAGTGGGAAGATGGATTGATGGTGTATGTGACCCGATCACCAGGTGAGGTACGGAACAAGGCATACATAGGGTTAAACATCTCCCGAGAGATGATCATATACCACTCCCGCAGGAGCCCTCCAGCATCTTGCCCTTCTTCTCCTTCAAACACTATATACCTGTATAAGAGAGCAGAAACAGGGATGTGCAGAAAGCCCAGGACAAATCCATTCTTTTGCACAGCATGACCTGAGTGAGCGATTGTGAAGGAGTAGCTGGGGAGTGCAGGGTCAGAGGACAGTGGTAAATGCAGAGTGCCAGGAGAGCCCAGAGGAGTGGTGGGGATCTGGGACAAAAAAAGGGCATCATTGATGGAAGAGATGTCCCGAAGTATCAGTAAAGCCTCACCCATATTCCAGAAAACAATAATAGGAAAGGTATAAAGGCCTAATAAGAAAGCAAGGAGGAATCATCAAGTGGCATCAAAGAGAGCTGAGCTCAGAGTCTGACGTCTATAAGGATTTGGTGGTGGAGGAGTAGGGTTCAGTCTGTCTTGGAAGCCTCTCTGACTTCCTGTGTGACTACATGGATAGTGAGCCCATGCCATAAGGGAAGGGAGGAATCAAGTTCCTGAGTTCAGGAGGATCAAACTACATCAATAGGTCTATCATCTCAATGGCTCCCATGACACGTGGTACTGCAAACTGCCAATCTCCTCTAGGTGGCGCCAGAATCACTAGTGAGGGATTACCAATTTGGTGGGGGGCCACTCTTGCAACTATGGTCTCCCTAAACCCAGGGTACCATTTGCTCAGCAAGGTTCCCGTTCCTAGTGCAACAATGGAGGAAGCTCTCTTTGCGAAGCCATCAGGTGTACCTTTGTAAATGCGAAAGACTCTCCGGTCTGTACAGGAATTGTTGGATAGCTCAGCCCAAGGGCCAGATGGCCAGCAGAAGACCAGTCTCATGAGACTGGGTGGAGAAGACGGGTGACAGTTCAGTGAGATAATCTAAGCTGGATTCCTCTTAGGAATTCCTACTGGGGAGGGCAGCACCTCCCTAAGTTCCCCTGCACATTTGGGCCCCAAGTAAGCCTTCACTACCATGTAGGGAGGGTCCCAACCCTCCCATCCTATTTATTCTCTGCTCTGGGCTCTTACAATCGATTCTTCATTTCTTCAGGGGATTTCCGGTGCAGCTCACGATAGGAGTCTTCAAACACATGGTCACGGCGGACGTGCACAGCCATGTCTTCTTTCCGGAGCCCCTCGTCCAAACGCTCCAGCTCTTGGCGGAAATATCTTGGGAGGTAGGAAAGGAAAGAAAGTAAGATTAGGGGTGGCAGAGTAAACTTTTGTTTGCCTGATTAGGATGAAGATCCGCAGTGATGTTCCCCTCATCCTCCAGACACTTTGATCCCTCCAGTGTTTGGGAGAGGCAGGTCATTCACTACCAACTCTAAATTTTTCCCATCTCCATCGAATAGGGGCCCACAGACATTATGGCATGGAATTTCTGCAATAAGCAGGTGCACAGGTGCATGTGTAGGTGCACAGGAAGGAAGAGAAGAGTAAAAAATGACAGGAGTGTTGTGGAGGCTCGCCCCCCCACGAGCCCTGCTGTGGCTACCTACACCTCCTGTATTACCCCAAAGGAAGGACCGGGACTTTAGAAATCATGTGATTAAACAAAGGCTTGCATTTCTCTGATGAAGAATGCAGACTGCGTTGGAGAAGGCCAAGGAGTATTTAGGTACAATGATTGTCCGTGGCACAGATGAGTCTCTCCCCGCCCCCCGACCCCCCAGCACCATTCTAAGGGCTGCCACCAAGGGAAACTTCTTTCCCTGAAAACATCATCCCAGGAGAAATTTTGGCTCCTCTCTGGGAGAGGAGATACCATTTAAAGAGTTCCCATCCCCCCAACACCAGGGCACATACTTGCGCTTGACATCAAAGTCGAGGACACGAATGTAGTCTACCAGGACAGCAAAAGGCCCGTCAGCGAGGTGGGTGGTGGACTGCCGTAGGATCTGGTTTAACACAGTGCGATGAGTCTCTGGGGGGAGAAAGGACAGCAGGAATCAGCACATCATGGGTCTCAGAAGAATGAATGAAAGCCAACCAGCCAGCAACTCTCTCTTCCTTGTTTCAGGGGAAAAAAACGTAGTGTGGCACACAAGGACTTCCAGACCCAGTCCTTACCTCACTAGCCTCACTTTCCAACACACACACACACACACACACACACACACACACTCACTCACTCACACACTCTCTCTCTCTCTCTCTCACTCTCTCTCTCACCCTGCAAATCAGCTAAGAACAAAATGTATGAATTGACCCTGTAAAAAAAATGAAGCCTTCTACATTTGGGGGCCTAAGAGTTCCCTGTACCTGCAAAGCGAAGAAACTTCTGTGTGTCAGGGGGCAGGCTTGATGAGATGTGCATAGACGAGGGCTCCCGGGAGAAGAATGGGTCAAGGGAGGAAGGAGTGGCTGGGGTTAAGGGGGCAGGGGAGAGTGGAGGAGGCTCGTCCTTGATGTGTGCCAGCTGGCTCTCACGGGTGTCTCGGACAGGAGGCTTGCTCTCCCGCTCTGTGGCATGGACCAGAAAGAAGGCCTCGACGGCAGGCTGTAGTACTGGGGGTAGGAACGATAGGATAGTGACAATTTACTTTATAAACTTCAACATATAAACCTCTTCCCCCCCTCATAATCAAATTTCAAAAGTACTACATGAAAAAGTAATGAAAACTTGCAGGAGAAATATAATGGTGCCACAGAGGAAGTCAGAGCTTCCAGAGAAAAATGGGATAGGCAACCAGTTATAAAGATTCCCCCAGTCTAAAAAGTAAAAGGTACCAGCTACCAAAAGAGAAGGCTAGTCTTTTTTCTGACAATGAAGTCAGAGAAAAAAAATCCTCTTCTTTAAACTCCTATTATGGAGATCCGACGGAGAGGAGTAATCTGGAAGGAAGAAAATTAAGCTGGCAGAAAGGGCCCCAGAGTAGATCAGCGGACCTGGGCCCTCCCTCAGGCCACAACTCACCTAGCACCGCATGCTGGTCATGGGATTCCTCCAGTTCCTTTAGGCACTCTCCCAGCATGTCCCACAGCTCATCTAAGCTCAGTTGCTCGCTGAGCAGGGGTAACTCAGGTGGCCTCTCCTCCTTCTCCTTCTCCCCCTGTGGAGTTCCATCTGAGCCTAGTGGGCACAGAGAGGAGAGACTGGGAAGCCCCTGAGGCTTTTCCTTCATTCAGACCAAATGCACAGGCCATTAGACAGATCAAGTAAATTGGTCCACTGGCCACTGAGTAATTGAGTGACATCTGAAAGCAAGCTCTAGTCCTATACTGGATGGCATTTAAACTTAAACTGAATAAAATTAATACAAGAAAAAGTTTGTCTAGTTGCACTAGACACTTTTCAAGTGCTCAATAGCTACATGTAGCTAACAGCTACTGCAGGAAAATTCTACCAGACAGCATTGGTCTTCTCATTGCCTTACTAGCTCCCAGAAAACCTATGGATTATTAAATGATTTAATATATTTTAAAAACTGGATGTCCTATGACAACACTATCCCACAGGAATGTGTTAAAAGGGTGCCAAAAAGCATTCTATATGAAATTAACCTTGAGAAATGCTGCTAATAATAGCATCCACTGTGTGCCAGGTACTGCTCTAAATGCTATATATACACGTGTTAACTCAATCCTAACTATGAATATCCCTATTTTAAATGAGGAAACAGAGAGGTTTGCCTCAGGTCCCAGAGATAGTAAATGGGGAGACAAGACTCAAACGTATGCTGTCTCCACACAGTATCATCATAGTTTCTTGTTTCTTTACTACAGAAATTGCAGTGTGTGCTATGATTCTCCAATGAGGACCAGGTGGTGATGGTTAGTGATCTTAGTTGATTGGTACGGGCCTATCAACATACAGAAACCAGGGTTCACTTGAACAAACTGGAAAACACTGAGCTTATGTATGTTGGAAGGAGGGGATCCAGCAGTCATTCCATGAAGACTGGTTCTCCCTTTTGTTGGGCTGGAAATGGGAAGTAGTACTGACCAATGGACTGAGTATCTTGAGCACTGGGAGATGGCTGGTCCACATCCATGGGTGATTCCTCCCTTCGGACAGATGCCTCTGACTGGCTTGACTCCGACTGGATAAAAGGGAGACAAAGTCACATAAAGGGTGCAACTCTGCTTTCCTCAGGGACAGGCGAGAGGCTGTCCTACAATCTCTCACATATCATAAGCTTGGAAAGAAGCCTCCCATGTCTTCCCATATGGAAAGAAGTTTCCTTAGGTAGCTCTCCAGGACAAAAGAATGGCCTTCCCACCTCCTTTGCTGTCCTCCACCCTGAGCTAGCAAGCTTTTGCAAAGAGCTCCCTGGATGCCCCATTTGCCTCCATTCTATTCCAGGCCTGTGTCCAGTCAGGCACCATCCTCCTGGACTTCAAGACTTCTAGGGACAGTTTACACACGTATATATACCTATATATAAAACTCAGATGGGCAGAAGGTAGGTTTACTCTTTGTTCCTTTTTGCTCACAAAAGGGGAAATAACGGCAATGAATTAGTGCAATCTTTGATGGGTGGGATTGGCTTTTTAAAAAAGCCAACATCTGTCCTATCAGGTGTGGGAAAGAGACTGGGCAGAAAAAATACTCCAGAATAATAGTTCTCTATCCCTTTCTACCCTGCCGGAGCTACAGCCCTTAAATTCTAGGCTGTTCCCAGCATGCTCAATGAAATCACACTGTATAATAGTAATTACAGACAAAGAAAAAATAGGCCTCAAGATATCCTTATTTCCTGGATCTTGGGAAGGCAACTTGCATGTTGTTACAAGGACAGGAAAACAATGAGTGCCACAGCATATATACATGATGCCAGGCTTTCCCTACAGCCACTCTGTGCTGAGATCCCAACAATGAACTGACTACCTAGGAACCTGAAAAGGCTTCCTCCTAAAAGTGCCCAAGTGCCTGGGTGCCAAAGGAGTATGAAGAATAGAGGCAGAGACCAGGGTGGAGGGATCAGCCATAGCCAGAAGAGGCTGTTTGGGATGTGTACCAAGCTTGGGGGACTTTCAAGGGCAGGATTCCTGACGTGTCTCTGAGGTACTTGCATTGTTCCATGAGACTGAAAAATCTTTTATCATGAATCCCCTCAGAACCCAGACACTTAGCATTATGCAGTTTGCAAAAGCGCCACTGTTGACTGGATAGCTGGGAGTGGGGTATGATGGCCAAGCTTTAAATCAAACCAAACCAAACCAATAAACAAACAGTAAAGAAAGCACCAAGAGAAAGTAACCCTGTTGCCCAGAAGCATTCATATAGCAAACTTAATGCAAAAGCATACAAGGTAAGGGCAATGAAACCCCACTGATGATGTGGTGGGGGAGGGAGGAGAGGCAAATGAATGAGGGGCCACAGGCATCATGCTAACCGTTGCTGCTTGTTGCTGTCTCCGCGCCCTTTGACCCTCACGTACCATTTGTATAATGGCATCAGCCTCAGCCTCCAGCTGCCGAACAGCTGCCTGGATGCTGCTAGCTGAGCCTAAACCGGAAGAACCTGGGAGAAAGAAAAAAGAAGGTAAGATGTAAACTGTAGAAAGAGAGAATGCTCAATATTCTCTCCCATCTCCTGGGCCACCACAGGGCACCCTGCTGAAGTCTTTGAGCTTTAAGCTCAGGCAGCCTCAAAATGCTCATCGTAAGGCACTAAGAACTACCTTTACAGATAAGGGCAGGTGACATGGGGCTGGGCAGACGGATGGTGGCAGGTGAGAGAGTTCTGCGGGACAGGGGGAAAGACATTGGATTTGGCATGCCATAGCTGAGGCAACATGGCTACAATATTTTAGCCAAGAGTGTTCAAGGAAGCAGAGAGGAGACAAACTCAAGTGAGTTAAATCTTGTTCACCAAAAGATCTGTCCCCAATTTCCTTGCCAGATTTCCACTCCCCTTTAATTCCCACTTGCCCTAGTGAAATTTCCTATGTAGACGGCTTGAGTGAGATACAGAATGCAGCCACCAACATTTTAAGATAGGATCATCATTTTCCTTAGAAAAGATCAAACAGGAAGGAGACATGACATTAAGTCCTGCCCTCCAGGGTCTCTTGTTTTTCCACCACCAACCTTGCCCCTCAACTGGACACCCCAGTTCCATACCTAGCCTGCCTGTCTGCTTGGCTTTCTTGTTAGCTCGGCGTGTGTCGTCCCGGAGCTGGATGATGACCTGCAGTACCCTCAAGAAGAACTTCTGGGTAGATGTCTTGGATGTCAACATGGACATAGAAGGCAACTGGAGCTCCCGGCCACCCAGAGGTCGCTTCTGAGATGCCACGATTACCACATTCTCAGCCATGTCAAACCTGGAGAGTGTAGAGGTGGCTTGCGTATACTGAGAGCATCAAAGCATCAACACCCAGAGCAGGCATGGCTTTCTTGTGTCAAGCAGGGGGTAAGGAATCTCAGAAGAAAATCACACAAGTAGGAAAAATAGGGCCGAGTGTGTACAGGACAGAAACAAAGTCTGTCCAGTGAAGAGGGAAAAAATAACCAGGAAGCCAGGAAGAGCCACTGTTCAGAATGGCCCTGATCCCAACCCCACAGCCAAATGGGCAGCTGCCACCTACCTGCTCTGCATTTTGCCTTTCAGCTTGGTGGTCTGTGGCTGCTCCTCAGGCAGGCCATCAGGGGAGAGGGTCTCACACTGGGCTCGCCGCTGCTGTTCCAGATTGTATTCCCGTAGTTCAGCCAGAAGGGTTCCTGGGCAGGCAGAGAAGCCAGCAAGTGTTCAGAGACTTCCCTAATGAAGCAGTGAAAAGCCAAACCTTTCCAAGAAAACTTCCTAGGTGCTTTGCTCAGCTGCACTGAACCTGGAGTAAGCAGAAATTTTGCTCTGTTCATTTTACTATGTGTGCTCACAGATCAACTAACTGCTCAGGGGCCACTGGTTTATCTGGCCTTGAGAATTTGCTGAATCTACAAGAAATAACAGCTCAGTGCAGAGGGGAAAAAGTATCTCTTTTGAAGCCCGTATACCTCTCAAACTTCGTAGGTTTTTGTGGTAATCTCAGGCAAATTGCTTAACCTCTTTCCCAATTTGCTTACCCATCTTAATAATGGGGCTCATACTGCCTAACCTCACAAGGCTGCTTTGAGAATTAGGAGATAACTGTCTAGCAGAGTGCCTAAGATACTGCCTAACCTATGGATGTTGAATAAATGGTGGCAGTCAAGAAAGATCAGAGGCCTCTTTTGGAAGAACTCTGTAATTCTCATGCAACAAAGAAGATCCTAGGTCACACAGTTTAATTGACTCTTATCACCTCAGCCCCAGGGATGTTTGTGAGAAGGAGATAACTACACAGGTGGTTGAGATCTAGCGAGACCCATGAGTGGGATGGGGGGTGGGAGAGAGCAAAGAGAGTCTCTATGCTGAAAGCAAATCTGGCCCCACTCCTTGATTCAGTCACCCCATCATCTGGGTTTTAGTTTTCTTCTTGGTAAAACAGGAAGACTGAAACTAGATAATTTGTAAGTATTCTTAGAATTTTTGTACCCTCAAAACTGCACAAAGGCAGAGGGTATTATTCTTTCAATTCCCGAGCCTGAATGTAGCATAGGTGCATCTCTGAGGTGGCGAACTGCCTCAGCAGGCTCATCATAGGGCTCTTATGAGTGCCCAGAATGGAAAAGCAATGTCGGCCCTATGAGTGCTCATTTTCCTTCACTAAGCACCAATTACCAGCTGTGTGCCAGGGATTGGGAATGTACAGAGAAGACCAGCCCTGCTCTCAGAGAACTGGGCAGAGGAAAACAGATGACAACCTAGTAGTTTCAGTGCTATGACAGAAGAGCTCATGGGGCTGTGCTACAGATGCATAGAGGAGTTTGATTCAGCCTGGGGGTTCAGGGAAGGCTTCCATAAAGAGGTGACACCTAAGTGGAAGGTTTCAGAAAAACAGGGTGCTTTACTCCTATTATTACCTATCTGTTTACAAAGGGTATAACCCAGATGGCGGGCTCCATTCAGTAGCAGCTTCAAAACAGTGTCCCGGGTCCCAGGGTCCCCCCGAGAGAGCTGCAGTAACACATTGGCTGCATCCTCTAGGCCTTCTTCAGAACAAGAATGGGATGTCAACACCTGGGAAAAAGAAAGGAGATGGGGTGAGCCCCAACTTGAGAACTAAAACATTATCTACCCCAGTCAACTCTTTCTCCCCCAACCAGAGGGAGGTCAGAAGAGCTTGGACTCACCTCCACAGAGAGCTGGAGCTGATTTTCAGTGAGGCCAGAGGATACCATCTTAAAGTCTGTGCTGCTGCCGATATCACCCACCTTCGCTGGAGATTTGCTGGCCTTAGTAGTAGTAGAAGCTTTGAGGAAACAGAACACTGTAAGCCTCTGAAACTCACATGCCAGAGACTTAAGTAGCAGAGCCAATCGCTGCATTGCCCAGGGCTTCAAAATGGAAAAGTAGTGAAAATGAAGATCCACCCCACATAGCCAAATCCAAATGACTTGGGATACCAAGGACTCTTATGACTGTACCTTCTAAAGTGACAAAGAATCCCAGATATTTCTCACAACTGTTCCCCTACCATCAGAGGGCCCTCTGAAAGCCCCCTTCCTTCAAAATCTGTTTCTTCAAATGATTCTTATTAGTATGCCACAGGGCTCATTCCCTTCACTTCCTGGGGTGGCCTGGCTACTTGATTCTACCCTGATTCCCACTGTATCCTGCCTGCTCTTGAACTGCTTCCTCTGAGAACTGGCTCCCTCAACCAGGCTAGAAAGACTGAAGATTCTTTAAAGACAGGGACTTTCTCCCCCTCCTCCTTTTTGAGCTTAGCTAGGGGAAGCCACATTCAGTGGTCTCCACAGGGGTGGTGGAGGGGGGAGGGAGGGGAAAATGGAGAGAGAGAACTTGGACCAATGAGGGTGAGAATTAACACATTTGGTTCTCACAAACACAAACCAAGCTGATTGCTGTCATTTAGGGAGGAATACCTGGGTGGGGCAGAGTTGGGGGTGAGGTGGGTGTACACACCCCACAGCTCCCAGCCTATATCCACACTTACTTGAAACAGTAGTGGTAGAAGTCGTGGGGGTAGTCACTGTGGTTGAAGCGGCTACAGCAATGGTGGATATAGTCGTGGCAGCAACCAGGGACGGAACAGAAGTGACAGGGGTGGTTGCAGCAGGGGGAGTGGGTGTGCTGGAGGCAGCAGTGGTAGTGGTGGTAGATGTGGTTGAGGTGGCAGCAGTGGTGGAGGAAGCACTGTTGCCAGAATTAGCCTGTGCTTCCGACACTTTGTTTTCTGGGAGAGCAATTGATATGAGAGAAAGGAGTCTGAGGAGCTTCTCAGTTAAGAGAGAGCTCCGGCGGATGACTGGGTGTGACAACATGTTCATGAGCTGCCCCAGTGGAGAGGCCTCGAGGCTGTATGGGGAAGTTTCCCCCTCACCACCAGCGCTCACTGGCACTGACTTCACGGAGTTCTTGCCTTTCCGGCTGACATTCATGTTGTCCAGTTTTACCAGTAAGTCCCAGAAGTCTGTGCAAATGCCACTGCTCGTGGACTGTGAAGAGCATGGGCTGCAGGCCTGCTTACTGCCCCTCTCCCGATCACTCTCACAGTTTGTTTCTTTGGTCCGCTGCTGTGTGAAGTGGCTGGGAAACACCTGCCAGGAAAAGAAGGACAGGCTTGGTCTAGGAGGTCTACACAGAAAATGTCTTGTGACAAGGAAAGAAAACTGGCTCCTAGACTCTCCACTCCTTTGGACAGCTTTAGTAACACTGGAGAGATGTAACATAGGAGTTTTATCCAACTGATGTTGTGAAGCAGCCTAGATAAAGCTCTGTAGGGAGACAGACGATTAGCAAACTTTTCTGAGCATCTATCTCTATACTTACAAAATGGGGAGGATACCTACATGGCTGTGCAAAATTGTTGAGATTACCAGGCATTTTGCATAGTGCCTGGTATAAGGCAGGCCCTCAACAAATGGCAGCAAAGCTTATGAAAAAGAGGACTGAAAAAAAAAAAAAGATAAAAAAGGACTGAATTAAGTTCTAGGTCCAGCCAGCTCCATCACTTACTAGCCACATGACAAAGCCACTAAAGATTTCTGTATCCCAGCTTCTTCATCTGTAAAATGGGAACCATGCAGACCACTGAGGGTTGTTTGATGGCTGAATGAGACAATGCATAAAAATTGTGAAGAGTGAACACAAAAACCCCACAAAATTATTTACTGGACAACCTCCCAGAAACAATACAGGCCTCAGCACCAATGATGAGGACCTGGTAGCTCCCTCAGAGTTCAGATTTCACTACACTATGGCTGACAACCATCTTCCATCCCCAGGAGTTGGGTTCCTCCAAGCTCCTCACCTTGGCTAATTGAATGAGTGTATCCAGAACGTGTCTGCAGACAACAGGAGCAGCCTGGGGGTGGATGTGGACAGTGGAGCCACTACTTGCATGCTTCTCAGTATGTTTGCGCCCCCCTGAACGCTGGATCTGGAATATATTAGTCCTGCAGCCTAGGGCTGCATCCATGGATACTGAGAGCCAGGAAAGCTGGTTGGAGCTCTTAGACTCCATCTTGTGTAGCAGGTCCAGGGGCCGGTTCTCATGGCTGCTTGACCCGCAGCTCTTGCTTGACTTTTTGCCCTTTTCCTCACTTGAGGAGAGCCTGGGTGTTTCAATGCAAAGCTCACTCTCACTGCTGCGCTGCAAGATGGAGAGCAGGCTTCGGATGACCCAGTGGCGGGTCTGGGCATGGTAGCAGAGATTTCTCAGTACTCGATGTAGACGGCTAGTATTGAGCTTTGGCTCATCCACAAAAAGTAGGACCAGGAGACAAGAGAGGGCTTCGTGATCCAGGAGGAGCCGTCCTCGGAGGCGTAGGAGAGTGTCCACATTACTGCCAGAAGGCCTGGAACAGAGCATGGTTTCTGGGTAATACTTCGGCTAGAGCTCTGGGATCAGGCATAGGCCTAAGGGAGGGGGATGAGCTGGATACATCCAGGAGGCTCGAGCGGGAGGGTGTCCAGTCCAAGGACTCTTAAGTATTCTTAATAGTAACAACAGCTGTCTCCTTGAGTGCCTACTATGTTCCAGACACCCTACAATATCTGTAACAGCTTCCTCACGGGGCTCCTGTAAAGACTAGAGAACCACCCAATTTTGAGATGATGAGCAAGAGGCTCAAATAGGTTAAGTGACTTGTCCTACATCACACAACGATTGAGAAGAGAGCAGAGATTGCAGCCCAGGTCTGTATCAACTGCTAAAATTGGACTGCCCATAAAGTCCTAGGACACAATGCTTACTTTGGCTTTCCATAGACTACCAGGAGGTTGCCTGCTGAATAGGGACTGATCACTCCACGCTCTGGCCTCGTTAATAATGAACTCTTCTGCAGCCTAGATGTTGTAATCTCAAGGCAAGCGATTCTCACTGTTTTCCTATTTGTGTGGGAGGCAGGTGGCTTTCCTTGTTGTAACCACAGCTAGAGCCTGCTGCCTGCCTACCTTACTTTGTGATTATGGTCTACAGTAGCTACATTAACCAGAAGTGTGACTTTCTGAAGGGGGAGTCCAAAGATCTGGCTTCCCCAATTCATTCAAGTAAACATCCTAGAGAGGTCATTCAGCCTCTCCACCTATAAATAAAGGGAGTTGGACTAGTAGTAGACATGGAAGGTGGTATGGCAAGGAAAAAAAGACAGGCAAAGGGTACCTATTATGGCTGCTGCTACCCCCCATCTGGAAGGTGCCGCCTCTCTGCACGGCAAGCCGAGTGTATTGGACCCCACGGTTGCCACTCAGGCGACTGGTGAAGGCTGGAAGGAAAGAAAAAGGAAACTGAAATTGGGGAGGGGGTGTGTGCTGAGCTGGGTCCAAGTAATACAAAGGGGAACAAAGAGTCTCATGTGGCCAAAGCCAGACATTCCAGAGCCCTCCCACTTGCCTCCCTCTGTACCCGGGCTTCGAAGAATGGCAGAGAGTGCAGAGGTGCTGCTGTGCCCAAAAAGCCGCTCATGCATGAGCTGCCTCTGCCGGGCTTCTTGCTCTCGCCTCAGGGCTTGAGCCTCAGCTGCAATGTCAGGTGGCATCACGGCCAACACGCTGTCCTCCATGTCCTCTAGGACACTACGGCGCAGGTCTGAGGGCAGAGTCTGGATGAAGGTCACAGGGTCCATGGGGGTGTCTGAGCTGGCATTCTGTGCCAGTTCCCGTCGCTGTTGCTCAGCTCTCTGCTGTGCCAGTACCTACAGAGCAGGAGGAGTCAATGGGGGCATACCCACAGCCAGGTAGCCTGGCACCACCAGCCCCCCCGCTCACATACTTCCTCCTGGATGGCTGGAGGCAGGGCAGCCAGGAACTCAGGGCTCACTTCGGTCACACCAGGATTCCCCACCACTGCAGGAGCTGAGCTATTTGTCGAGGGGGCAGTCCGCGTTGGTGGACGAATGCCCAGCTGGTTCTGTAGAACTTCTCGGCGAATGTCATCAGGGAGAGCGGCCAGAAAAGAGGGGTCCACGCCTTCGGGAAGACTAATACCTGAGGGGATATGCAAGATGTGAAGGGACTCTCACTTCTACTGAAGCCTAAAGATGTACTTGGATCAAAGAAACCCATGGCCTTGGATGAGGGAGACCAGCTTTCTCTGTCCTCATTTCATGCCAAGGACACAGGGGACACAGAGAAGGCCCACCCACCCTTCCCTAGGCTCAGAACAGCTGTTATATGCCAAGTTCTGTGTGTGCACTGTCACTTAACCTTCAAGACCCCACCAGGTAGCTATCATCACCCTCTCAGTATCAATGAGGATCAGAGAAGTTAATGGCTCCAGGTCCTAAAAGTAGGAGGTGGCAGAGAAGGGATTTGAGCTAAGATCAGTCTGACTCCAAAGGCCTGGGCTCATTCAATTGTGTAGCATCAGCTTCCCCTTACTGCAGGCCCCCCCGCCCCGCATATATATGCCACCCGCCATCTGGATGGAATGGTTCCGACTGGTGGGCATTTCCATGCCAAGGGTTACTAGAAGCCTAAACAGCCCCAGGATGGCCTGAGCACACATGGAGCTCACCTGCTAGAGGATCTTCTTCTTCACTGCTTGTTGAAGGCAGTGGTTCTTCTAGGATTCCCCGGGAATCTGCTCCAGAAATGGCCACGGCAGAATCTCTGGTGGAAGAACTCTCAGAGGATGCAGGAGTAGAGCTAAAGGAAATAATTTTCAGGTTCTCTGTATTATATTTTCCCACTTATAAAATATTCCTATAGTACCCCCTTTCTCACAGAAGCCAAGTTGATTTCCCCAGTATACAAAGCATGTGTACTGGTTACTAAGTATGAACGTGGCTTGAAATACCCACCAACACACCCTGCCCTCCTCTCACTCACACAGTGCTTACCTGTCCTCAGGGGGCTGGGTAGGTTCCCCTGACCCATCACTCCTGCCTTGCACTTCTGTCACAACTGGTGGGGCATCCCCAGGAGTGGAGCTGCCTGCTGTGGGCTGCTCAGAACTGCCAGGTGCTGAGGTGTCACCCACAGCTTCCTCCAGGGTGCAGGAAGCCAGGCTGCTGGTGTCCATGGGAGAGCCTTCCAGTTGACTGCTGACAGCTGTCAGAGCATCAGAATCTTCAGCTCTCTCTGGGGAAAGAGAGGCTAGGAGGAAGTCACATGGAGAGGTTAGATCTCTGCTTCAAAGAGGGGGAGGCTGAATTAAGAAGCAGCCAGATCAGACTTCTCACTTCTTCACCTTCACTTCACGCTGGCCTGATGCTCCCCCCTCAATCTCATTTGCTTTAAAAAACTCATCTCAAGCCCTTTCTATTATCTGTTGAACATTTATGGTGTTCCAAGCATGCCTGTGAAACATCTTCTCTAGGCACCCGAGGTAAGGGATCCTGTCACTTTCAGATTTCCTGCAGGCATCATTTACATAAGCTCTTTGGTTCTGTTCGTCTAAACAAACAAGGTTCCTTTAAGGCAAAACCCCCTACACCCTAAGGTTTTTCCAGAGCACGTCACAGGCAGTATAGTAAAGAGCAGGAACGGCAAACAGGCTTGTTTACCCTGTTGGAACACTGCTGAGAAGAATTTTGAGGCCCCATTTCAAACCAGTGGGAAATAGTGCCATGAGATAAATGGTGTTGCCAGGA